CTACTTGATCATGGTGAATAATTCTTTTAATATACTGTTGAATTCGATTTGCTAGTATCTTGTTGAGGATTTTTGCATCCATGTTCATCAGGGATATTGGCCTTTATTCTCCTTTTCAGTGGGGTCTTTGGTTTGGCAATCAAGGTAATGCTGGCTTTATAGAATGAGTCTGGAAGCTTTCCTTTCATTTTGTTTTTGAAACAGCTTGAAAAGAATAGGAATTAACTCTGCTTTAAATGTCTGGTGGAATTCCCCTAGCCAACTGGCCCAGGACTCTTATTTGTTGGGAGATTTTTGATAACTGAATCAATTTCTTGTAGTTATAGGTCTGTTCAGATTTTTTAATTTCTTTTTACTTGAGTTTTGGTACTGTGTGAGTGAGTGTCTAGGAATTTATCCATTTCTCCCAGATTGTCCAGTTTGTTGGCATCTAATTTTTCATAGTATTCTCTAATAATTGTTGGTGTTGGTTCTCTAATAATTCTCTAATAATATGGTGTTGGTTGTGATCTCTCCTCTTTCAATCGTGATTTTATCTGTTTGGGTCCTCTCTCTTTTCTTTTTGGGAAATCTGGCTAGGGGTTTGTCAGTTTTGTTTATTCTTTCAGAAAACCAGCTCTTAGATTCATTGATCTGTTCTACTGGTTTTTTTGGATTTTATGTTGTTCATTTCTGCTCTACTCTTTATTATTTGTCATCTTCTGCTGGCTTTGTGCTTTCTTTGGTGGTGCCAAGTTCCTCCAGGTGTGAGGTTAGGTTATGTATTTGGGACTTTTGCTTCTTGAGATAGGCTTAAATTGCAGTGTACTTTCCTCTTAGGACTGCCTTTGCTGTGTCCCAAAGTGTTTGGACTCTTGTGTTTTCATTTTCATTTGCTTCCGTGTATTTTTAAATTTCTTCTTTAATTGCCTGGTTGACCCATTCACTCTTTAGTAGGATGTTCTTTAACCTACACGTATTTGGGAACTTTGCAAATTTTTTCTTGTGATTTCAAGTTTCATAGTGTTGTGATCAGAAAATATGGATGGAATGATCTCAACCTTTTATATTTATAGAGGGCTGTTTTGTGGCCCAGTATGTGATCTGTTTTGGAGAATGTTCCAAATGCACTCAAGAATGAGTATTCTGCTTTTGGATGAAAAGTTCTGAATATATCTGTTAAGTCCATCTGGTTCAGTGTGTCGTTAAGAGCTGTTGTTTCCTTATTGATTTTCTGCCTAGATGATCTGTCCATTGCTATAAGAGGACTGTTAATTCCCCCCATAATCACAGTTATTATCTATATATTTATTTATGTTTGTGAATAACTGATTTATGTATTTGTGTTCTTGTGGGCATGAGCATTTACAATCGCTAGCTCTTCTTGATGGATAGACCCCTTAATTATGATACACTGCCCTTCTTCATCTCTTGTTACAGACTTTCTTTTAAAATCTAATTTGTCTGATACAAGTATGACTACTCTAGCTTTCTTTTGCCCTCCAGTAGCATAATAGTTGGTCCTCCATCCCCTCACTTTCAATCTGCAGGTGTCCTCATGTCTAAAATGAGTCTTTTGTAGTCAGTATATAGATGGATCTTGTTATTTTATTCATTCTGATACCCTAGGTCTTTTGATTGGGGCATTTAGTTCATTTACATTCAGAGTGATTATTGAAAGGTATGGATTTAGTGTCATTGTGTTATCTGTAGGTTTTGTGCTTGTGGTGATATCTCTGGTCCTTTTGCTGCTTTCCACTAGTGGTCATGAACTCCTTTACTTTTTGTTTGTCTGGGATGGCCTTTATCTCTCCTTCTATTCTGAATGACAGCCTTGCCGTTAAAAGATTCTTGGCTGCATATTTTTCCTATTCAGCACATTGAATATTTCCTGCCACTCTCTTCTGGCCTCCCAAATTTCAGTGGTCAGGTCTGCTAACTACCTTTATGTGTCTACCCTAGTAGGTTAAGGCTTGTTTGTCCTCATCTGTTTTCATAATTCTCTCTTTATCTTTCCATTTTGCCAGTTTCACTATGATATGTCGTGGTGTTGACCCGTTTTGTTGATTTTGAAGGGAGTTCTCTGTGCCTCCTGGATTTGGATATCTGTTTCCTTCCCCAGATTAGGGATGTTCTCAGCTATAATTTGTTTGAATAAACCTTCTGCCCCTTTCTCTCTGTTTTCTTCTTCTGGAACTTCTATGATACAGATATTATTAGGTTTCATTAAATCACTTAGGTCTCTAAATCTCCCCTCGTGGTGTAGTAATTTCCTTTCCCTCTTTTTTTCAGTTTCATTATTTTCCATAATTTTACCTTCTGTCTTACCTATTTTCTCTTCTGCTTCTTCCATCCTCGCTGTCATTGTATCTAGTTTATTTTGCATCTCACATATAGTGTTTCTTAATTCATCGTGACTATTTCTTAGGTCTTTGATCTCTGCCTCAATTCTCCCCTGTCTTCTATGGTTTTTTTCAAGCCTGGCTATTACTCTTATGACTTTTATTCTAAATTCTTGTTCACATATATTATTTCTATCTGTTTTGAGCCATTCTCTGGCTGTCATTTCTTCCTGGAATTTTTGAGGAGAATTCTTCCATTTCGTCATTTTGGCTAGGTTTCTGTCTTTTATGTGTTTTAATAGCTTGTTATGTGTCCTGCACCTGTGAGAACTACTATATTATAAAGGGGTCAGAGGTGCCCGGGTGGCTCAGTCAGTTAAATGTCCGTGATTTCATGGTTCATGGATTCAAGCCCCGCATCAGCTCTGTGATGACAACTCAGAGCCTGGAGCCTGCTTTGGAGAGCCTGTCTCCCCCTCTCTCTGCCCCTTCCCTGTTCACGTGTACTCTCTCTCTTTCAAAATAAATAACCATTAAAAAAAATTAAAGAAAAGGGGGTTATATGCTGTCCAGGGCCTTGCACTTCAGGAAGCGTTTTTGGAGTGTGTTGCTTACACTCGGCTGTTGCATATTTGGCTGCTCTATCACAGTGGTCATTCTTCTACAAAGCTCCTCCTTACTCATGGTGGTGGATTGTTTAGACCTTTCACCAGGTGTGCTTACATTTGTTCAGAAATTAAAAAAAAAAAAAAAAAAAGGAAAGTGCAGGGGACTTGGTCCCATACAAAGAGAAAAATGAGAGGGGTGGAAAAAAAGACCAAGCAGAGAATCAGAGAAACTATAAGGCTTAATCCAGAGAGAGAGAAAGGAAAATAAAGAAGGAGGTATAGAAAAGATGTAAAAAGAATAAAAATGCCTAATTAAACAGACTGACAAAGCAGAGAAAAAAAAAAATACATAACAAGAAATGACCAAAAGTCAAATCAGAGACTACGAATCTGATTCCAAAGGGGGGGGGGGGGAAGAAGAGGGTAGAAAAAAGAGAAGAGAAAAAAAATAATAGTAATAAAAAATTAAACAAAAAAAACAGACTAACATACATAACTGCAGGACAGTTGTCGGTTGGTGTTTGAGATCAGTGGCTGTGCTGTCTGGAGGAGAGGCCATCTGGTTCCCTCAGTGTCAGTCCCACTCCAGTAGATAAGCAGTTGCTAGGCACCGAGGGGCGGGGTTTGGTGTAAGCAGGTCCTGCCTTCACTGGGGGCCCTGAAGCCCCACTGTGTTGGTGATGAAGAGAAAAATGGCAGTACCCCAATCTGTCCTCCCTAGACCGGGTGTCTCAAACCTCGCTGTTCAGGCAGCCCTTACAGAGTAGTGCGGGCAGCTGGCTTGTCCTGCTCTATGGTCTCCCTCGTCTCCTAGGTGATCGGCTGAGATTCAAAACCTGATGTCTTAAATGATCCCACACTGTGGGACCCAGTTCTGGGGTAGCACCACTCCGCCCTGCCGATAAAGGGCCTTTGCCCGGCCTGGACCATATTTTTAGTAATAGCAATTTAGACGATCTGACAAACTCATTGTCATCAAGAATATTTCTGGACTCCTTCCTACATACCTTCGTTATCTTTCTTACTATTATCTGGGTAACTGTCTCCCTATTCAGTTCCAGATTTTTGCCTATAAGGACTGACTTTTATCCTCCTATCCCTAAAGCTTAGCATACTATTTAATAGAAAATAGGCTTTCAACAAATGTTTGTTGATTAGATATTATTTTTAAATTGAAGAATAGTTGACATAGAATGTTACATTAGTTTCAGGTATAAACAGTGATTCAGTAATTCTGTACATTCCACAGTGCTCACCATGATAAGGGTAGTTACCATCTGTCGACATACAATGTTACTACAATATTAATGACTATGTTCCCTATGGTGTACTTTTTATTCACATGACTTATTTTGTAACTGGCAATTTGTGAGCCTTACTTCCTTTCACCTGTTTCAGTCATCCTCCCTCTTATCCCCGGCAACCACCAGTTTATTGTTTGTATTCATGAGTGTTTCTGCTTTTTGTGTTTTAGATTTCATATATAGGTGAAATCATATGGAATTTGTCTTTCTGTGTCCGACTTCTTTCACCTGGTATGATACCCTCGAGGTTCATCCATGTTGTCAAGATTGGCAAGGTTTTATTTTTATAGCTGAGTAGTATTCCACACTGTGTGTGTGTCTGTGTGTGTTTGTGTGTGTGACACACACACCTCATATCTTCTTTATCCGTTCATCTATCAGTGGGCACCTAGGTTGTTTCCATATCTTGGCTATTGTAAATAACTGCTGCATAAATATAGGGGTGCATATATCTTTTTGAATTATAGCCTATTTACAGTTTCATAGTCTAATATATATACTAAATGTTAAGAGTAGCCTTTATTATTTTATAATATAAAATTAATTATGAACCTCAATTTTTTTTCCCCCGTATTCCTTTTTTAGAAGGGAAAAAGCCTTAAATATGCCCCAGCTAAAGGTATTTGCTTGAAAATATTTCAGCCTTTGGTACAAGCCAAAACATTTGAATTCTCTATGATAACATAAAGTGTCTCTCAACATTACTGTTTGTAGACTAATTTTTTTTTTTGAAAACTAATGACTATGTATTTTTCTTTCCACCCAAGGAGAAGTACAAATGTCTACCACAAGACGAAAACGTAATATGTTATGTTGTTTACCGTAAGCTGTAGTAAAATGAGCTCGATTGTCGACAGGTATGTTTTTAGAGACTCTTTATTTTGAATCCTATAAAGGTATTTTAAAATTTATTATTAGAGTAATGATCTCTATCAAACTGATACGGAGTTTCATGCTTAAACATAATTCCTATTACATTCAGTTTCTATATTGAGTAAACATAGTGTAATAGTAAGATATGTTAATGTTATCTATAGCCAAAGTCCAGTGTATGGCTTGTGTCCTAAACAGATCTTGAACTGTAATTTTGAGTTTGATTTGGTCAGAGCTGCTCCGAGAGAAATTGTGATAGTTGGCACATGTTTCCCTGGCACCTTATGGAATCTTTTTTCTCCTTAATGTGTTGTCCTTTTTCTCTGTATCTATCTGTTGGGGCTAACTCCATGTCTTTAAGCATTCTAGTAATTGATATTGATAAGTGGTAGCTATAATTAGGATTTTATTAGTTGAAATTACAATCTTTGAATCATATTCTTGGGAAAAGGATAAACCTGCTTCTTTGATTTTTAAGACTTTTTTTTTTTTTTTTTTTTTTTTTTTACATTTTAACAGTGACACTGAGATTCATCTTACAATTGCCTTATCATAGTTTAATTGGTAGCATTTTTTTTCTTTCTTGGTGGCATATGAAATACTGACAAGTCTTTATAAAAGTCAATGGTGTTCTTAATTTGATGACATACAGTAACATATTTTAAGCTCTTAGTCTTTGATAGGTAATGTGTAGAGTACTTTTCATATGTTGCTTCATTTAACCTCACAGTAATTCCATGAGATTTTACAGCTGAAGCAAACATAGGTCAGAGAGGTTGAATAACTTGTTTAAGGTCACATAGTTAAGTGATGAGCTGGAATTATGACCTATGTTGGCCTGACACTAAAGTTCCTGTATTTTTATTATAGTGTACTGTGTGATTCTTCCATAGGGGATTCTTTAAAAGTTTTGTAGCTATAGTTGTATACAGAAGTGACTTGACATCTGGGGCCAGCCTGTCTCCCTTTCCTGTGAGATAAACAGTGAAGATAAATACTCTACCAGAACTTAAGACCTAAGGGGCAAGGAGTTTCCTTAGAGAGGCCTGCCTGCAGCACTGCCATAGTTTTGGGCTATGCCATATTTTCAGGTGGGCTCTATGTATAGTTGTCTCCTCAGAAAGGATGTTCCTTCACTGCTCCTGAGAGATTAAATATGATTGTGGTATTATGCTTCTCAGTGATTGCCAATTCCCATTCTAGTTGATACAACATCTAGAGATAACATCTGTGTTCAGACATAACAGCAGTTTTTAATAAGAGTTCATTATTTCTGTGAATATCATTAAAATTATGGACTCTCTCCTCAATAAAATGCTACATACAGAAGTTTTCCTAAGTTGCAGTGCACACATGGAACCTGGAAAGTCCAGATATGGACCTCTGTGATACAAAATTGGCAGATATTCTCAACAATGGGTCCAGCAGACCTTCTGTGTGCCTTTATAGGCCTTAGAAAGGTGTGATTAAAGTAGTGAATAGTGAATTCATGTAAAACTCCTGAGTCACCTGAAATTATTTAATATTGCTACTTAGATTAAGGGGTTAGCCACCAGGGCTCTTGATTTCATTTGTTAAAATGTTGTTCCCCTAGATCTTCCCATAACCAACCTATTCTTGTCACTTAGCTCTCAGCTTAGATCTCCCCACCTCAGCAAGTCCTTCCCTTACTACTGAGACTAAAGTAACACTGCAGTAACTAAAGTCTCCCCTTAAAAAAAAGAAAACTTGTCAATATTCCCTTGTTGATTTGTTTTGGTCTACTAGAAAATAAGCCATATGAGAGCAGGGACCTCTGTGTCTGATTAACTGCTCTGTATTCATGTTCAGAATAGATCCTGGCACATGAGTACTAACAAATATTTGTCAAATGAATCAGTAATGAATGAAATGTATTAATGTAAGTTAAATGCTAGATGTTGTGATGCTCATGAGCAATTTGTGGTTTTATTAATATGATGTCTCAAAATAATTTTTTTAAGCTATGCTGTTAAAGATAATTTCAAATGAAGTAATTTTTATATGATGGCAGATACACTGACTGTCTGTAGTTTTCGCTGATTACTAACAGTCTGAAACAAGGTATTAACCTCTGGTTAAATTAAATTCTGATTTTTGCATGTCATATTTACAGTAAGCTAAGTAAGTTTTAAAATTCACATTTGTGGTAAATTTTTTAAAAATTTAGGTAAACATGGATAAACTTTAGTTTTCTAATATTTATTAGGAAACAGGTTAGCAGTTAGTTGAATTTGAATTTGTACTATCCTTTAATTTTAGAAAAATCCTAGGATGTAACTGATTTGATTCACATGTCATTTTGGTATTGCTGTTGCTTAATGTGTCTGCTCTTATTTTCTCTGTCGACTTTCTTTTTTCTTTTAGAGAAGATGGTAGTATATTTGATGGGTTGGTGGAAGAAGATGACAAGGACAAAGCAAAAAGGTAGTTCATCTTAAGATGCAAAATAGTAATTAAATGAATAATAAGTAAATATAAAAGTAAATAGTGATTTCCAAAAGCTGTCTGTCTTAAGAGCTTAGATATATTAGCAAGGTGGAAAAGCTTAGAATATCAGTATGCAGTTTATAAATTAATAAGGTTATCCTGTAAAAGTGCTCCTCTCATCACATCATATTTGGAGCGTGTAATATCCATAAGACATCACTAAGGATGTTAACCTTCATCACTTGGCTAAGGTAGGATTTGCCTGGATTCACATTTGTAGTTACTGTTTTCCCCTGAACTTGTTCTATTCTTTGGTAGCAAGTTATTAAGTGTAGCCTACCTTCAAAGTAGTGATGGGGGGAATTAAGCTCCACCTCCCATAGAAGGGGATATCTACATATATTTGAAATACTTCTGTAAAAAAATTGTGTCCTTCCCATTCGTTTATGTCTGTATGAACTCATGTATATTTATTTTATAGTTTAAGTTATACTGTAGTGCTGTTTTATTTTGTTGCTCAAATTGTTTCAGCTTTGGCAATTGGGAGTTCTTTCAGGGTAGGCTCCTGTGTCCTCCACATGCCTTTATTCTCCAGTAGAAGGGAAAGTAAATCGTGGAGGTGAGGGAGTGAGATCTAGAGCCATGGTAGTGTTGATGTGAGCTGCCTTAAACAGGAGGCTTGACAGTTAATTATAGTATTAGGAGAGGGAGGCTCCGGGTAGCATTATAGCAGTTTGTAGTCACTGAGAGTGGGCAGTAAGCACTTTCTGGGTGTTTTTTTCCAGCTGTGTTGAACTACGTGGGTGCTTAGACAAGGGTAGACGTTGTTGTAGTATTATACACAGGTACAAAGATAAACATGTAATAAGTAATAGTTACTAAATGTCTGTATTCAGCAAAAAGGAAAAAAAAAAGGTAGTGGGATAAGAAAAATATTCACAATAACCGGGTAAATTGCAGAATATTCTAACGAATGATTAAAATCTAAGAAGATTTTGAAGACAACTATGTAGTGTATTCCAGGAAATAAAAAGACCTGGATTTGAAGCTAAAAATATATAGGACAACCCGTATCCCTCAACCTCAATCTGGTGGAGGAAAGTTTTTTACAAAATACCTTAGGATAGAGATAAAATCTGTTAAGATAGGAATAATCAGTCTTGCCTGAAAAAAGAAGCAGAACTCTAAGGAATTGACTTGGACAGTGTTGAAGGCCAAGTTTATAGATAGATAAGGTAGCTAAGGGTATCCTATTTTCGAACACTCTGAAGGTTTGATCATGTTTTTAGGGAACCAGAAATACTGTGGCTCTGGAAGACACTGGAGGAAGACAGAGAATCTCACAATATTGTCATAATTAAGCAGAACCACACTGAACTCTGACTGAAACTATGATGAGTTAAAGTACCTTAGTGTTGAACCAAGAACAAAGGGAGTTTTATACCTACCTCCAAAATGAAACCTCTGTGGCCTGTTGTCAGTGAGGTCCTTACAAGGGCTGAGAACTTCCAGCCTAAATGTAACAATGAAGTGAAGTTTGCGTTAGTGGTTACGATTCAACAGTAGAGTTGGCAATATTTGGTTTCTGTGTATTTTCTTCCTCTGGAATCAAAATGTCTGGTTTGAATTACTACTTCATGGTAGCTGTATGACCCTGGGCATGTTCTTTATGCCTCAGTTGTCACCTGTAAAATGAAAAGTTGTAAGTAATAAAGTCTTCCTCATAGGAATTAATGAGATTTCATAAGTGCTTACAGTAGTGCCTGGCACATAAGTATGCCATGAATATTGGCTTTTATTTTTACCTCTGTCCGTGTGTTCAGATACTTCATATATGCTAATTTTCAGATGCTTATTTCTTACTCTTTTCTAGAGGAATATAACTAGATCTGCATATCTAAGTCTTTTGTGTATGTCTTTTTAAATGTGAAACAGGCAATTTCATCATATTTAAATTCTGCAAACCATCTGTGCACCAAAACCATATCACATGTTATATCTCACATTAATAAACAGCATTATCAGTCACTTGGGAATCCTCTTATATTTCCCTTTTGCTTCCCTACTGCAAACCAGATCTGATTTACCTGGAATTGATAGATCTGCCTCTTAACCCTCAAACCCACACTGCTCTGTTAACACTGCCACTGCCATGGTTTATAGGCTAGTATGTTGCGGCTGCCTCCTAAATGGTCACCTGACGTCCAGGCTGGTTTGCCATACAATACATTTTCATGAGTATTTGCTAAATGAATTTGTTTTACCAAGCCTCGATCTTTTCATCACTGTGATGCCAGAATGGTCAACAAGCAGTTCTGTTCACGTCATTCCTTTGCTTTAAAACCTTTCAGTGACTTCCCCTGGCTTTCAGGATTAAATTAAAATCCTTTTATGTAACATAAAAACTTTATGATTTTTTCCAGTATTTATTTATTCCTCACCCACCGCCACAATTCTAGTATACTTGGGCACAGAAAGCCCATCCATTGACCATATTAGCCAGGTTGAATTACTTGTGACAGGAGTTCATTCCTGGGTAAGTTTCCTATACCTGTAATGCCATGCATACATCTACCCCACTACCACACCCTTTTCTCAGCCTCTGTGACTCCATTCAGTACACAAGTTCAGTACTCTGCATTTCCATAGGAATTAGATAAATTTCTTGAAAGAGGTTGTCTTTTCCCAGTATCCTTAGCCTTTATTAGCATAGTCTCTGTTCCTATAGCAAGCACTCGCTGTTTGATGGAGTCAGTTTAATATCTTACGTTTCTTAAGAGATTTGAGCCATTATATTTTTTCCCTCTACAGAATTAAGAAATCTGACTTCAGGGGCACCTGGGTGGCTCAGTCAGTTAGGCATCTGACTCTTGATATCAGCTCAGGTCTTGATCTCAGGGTTGTGAGTTCAGGCCCCACGTTGAGCTCTGCACTGGGCATGATGCTTATGTTAAAAAAAAAAAAAAATCTGACTTCACAAAGCAGAGGTCTGCTTTAATCATAGAATCATTAATCATTAATCATAGAATGATTAATTGGTCTATAAATAATTGTATTTACTTGTCTGAAGGTCATGGTGCCACTTAGTATTTATTTACTGGTTAGCTGCTTCACATAAAATAGCACTAATTATTCTTTTGGCGTGCATATTTTGAGTGCTTACTGTTTGTTGTTACGTTTAAGTGCTTAGATGAAAAAATTGGGGCTTTGTCATCAAGAAGTACACAGCCTAATGGAGAGAGAGATATGCAGACATTTGGTTATAGCTCTGTGGTGGAGGCTGGAATAATGAAATAAAGTGGAAGGCTATATGGATAAGCCTGAGGGTAGAGAGATTTTCATTTTTAGATTTGTTTGTAATTTAAAACTTACAGGAGATGGATAACTCTCCTACTTAGTAATTTTGAATAATTATATGCACATTATATGCACTTTCACAAATGCATCTCAGTAATATTCATAATAACTTACTAAAGAAAATACAAATACTTGGTATTTGTATTAAATAAGTTAAATAAATAAAACCTGAGATTTGAATGAAGTTTGTCTTACTGGCATTTTTCTAAGAACATATATGCTAAATGCTTAATATGTAAGTTTCTTTAGTGATTAACTGAGAAGAAAATTACTGCCCAAATTAACTGTACATTGTTGGTAACTTGTGGATAAATACTTACTACCACTATATTGACAGAATACATGATTTGTAGTTGTGTCCGAAGTGAGCATTGTATTAAATTATGTGTGTCATCAAATGGATTGTTTGAAAACTGCTTTTCTTTTTCATCAGAGTATCTAGAAACAAATCTGAAAAGAAACGTAGAGATCAATTTAATGTTCTCATTAAAGAACTGGGATCCATGCTTCCTGGTAATGCTAGGAAGATGGACAAATCTACTGTTCTGCAGAAGAGCATTGATTTTTTACGAAAACATAAAGGTAAAATTTTAACTTTATAAGATGGATTTTTTTTTTTAATAACAGACTCTCTCTTAAAGCATTATGTGGTAGAAATCTTGACAGTGATTCTTAAAATTGGATGCTTCCATACCTTTTTTTTAAGAGAAAGAAATCAATTGCCTTTTTAAAGGTTTCCTGGTATGTTCTTTATTTCATTCAACAAACATTTATTTAGTGCCTACTATACGCTAGATTCTTGGGGTGAAGAGTAGCAGTCCTGGCCCTCAATTAAATTTAAGCCAAGGAAGACAAACATGTGAATAACTAATTTACAACTAATTTATTTATTCCTCACCTGTAGATATTTAAAATGTGAGTAGTGTTCACAAACCGTAAACATGTGAGAACACAGGAAAAAAATGTCAGGAAGGGCTTAAAAATAGCTGATTTTTCAACTGAGTCTTCCTTTTAGGTTAAGTAAAGAGAACCACATTTCACCCGGAGGGAATAGGAAGTATTGTGTGCAAAAGCAGGGAGAGTTCAGTGTAATTGGAGCATAATTGAGTTGGAAAATTATGGGTATATTTGAAAGAAAGGCAGGAGCCACATCATTTGGGCCTTATATTGCCATTTTAAAAGATTTTAGGGGCGCCTGGGTGGCTCAGTCGGTTCAGCGTCCGACTTTAGCTCAGGTCATGATCTCACGGTTTGTGAGTTTGAGCCCCGTGTTAGGCTCTGTGCTGACAGCTCCGAGCCTGCAGCCTACTTTGGATTCTGTCTTTCCTTCTCTCTGCCCCTCCCCAACTTGTACTCTGTCTCTCTCTGTCTCTCAAAAATAAATGTAAAAAAAAAATTTTTTTAAAGAAGATTTCAGTATATGTCTAGTAATTAAACACTGTTTATAAAATAAAGTGATTATTTGTTAATTGAAGAAAATCACTTTGACTATAAATGAGTCATGAAAAGAAAAAGTTAAAGAATATTAAGTATTTTGGTAACAGAGATAATAGATGAAAAACTTGGAACATTTCCTTTTCTAGCTGCAAGTGAAACCACAAAACTTCTCAAAAGGAGAATTTGTAACTAGTACGTTTATTCACTCCTCCCGGGCTCACTGAGTCATGCATTACCAAGCTGATTTTTACGCTCCATCACTCTCTGAAATTATTTTTGGTAATTTCACAAATGCCATATGCCCCACCCATTCTGCTACCAATCAGATAATAGCAGTAGCTTTTTCTTATACCTAATGCACTGGAAGTTTTAATCCATCCTCCACTGGTTTTCTTTTTTCTTGGTCTGTGTTATACTGCACTTCTTCATTCATCCCCACTTTCTAACTGAAACTTTATTTTTTTGCCCTCTAAATGTCTTGTCTTTTGTGCTTTTGCTTTCTCTTCACTCTTTCCCTTGGTTATCTCATTCCATAGCTTCAAGTATTGTCTCCCTATTAAACTACCATATCTGTATTTTTAGATGCAAACTTTTCAGTCTTTTGTATCCAGATAACTTCTGGATCTTTCTTTTGCATGTCCTCAACCTCAGTGCATCTAAAACTGAACTCATTTTCATTTTCTCAAGTCACCTCTTTCTCTCAACTTCCCTTTTTACATTTTTATACCACCATCATTTCAGGCCCCAGGACTCAAGCCTGAAAAGACTTTTGAATTTTTTCCATCTTCCTTAGTACTACATCACAGTTACCAAATTCTGTTGATCCTTCTGTAAATGTGTCATAATTGCTTGTCTTCACTTTTATTATTACATTTTACCTCTGCAGTTAGTATTCTCACTAACCTTAGTGTCTCTTGTTAGCACACTTAGTCCCCTCAGACATTGCAGCTCAATAAATGATTGCTGAATGAAATGAAATAATATGCATACATTTGCCCCTGATAATTGAAGATTAATACTGGCATTAAGTAGATCAGTTTTTTTTTTTTTCAAAATTGGGTATATCATTCTCAGAAAAGTAAAATTTACCTTAAATTAAAAGGGGATTCTTAGATACTTATTATTAATACTCTGAAATAAGCCTTTGTTTAACTAAAGTTGATGGGATTTGCTTGTGGATTTAAATCTTTTTTCTGAATGTATATAATTGGTGTGAATGTGAAAAACATGACTATATTCCACAGAATTAGTAGCTAGATTTTTAGTTACTCTTCATATTAGTAGTACAGGCATTTCCAGTACGCCAAAAGTTGGGTGACAGTTTAATATGCTTGATTTATATATCTGATAACACAAAATCAAAACAGCCTGGTCCGTACTTTTCACAGCAAAGTAGAATATGTTTTTGTGGAGTAATATCTATGACATAGATTTTTGTTTTGGTTGTTTTAAGATGTCTGCATTAAAAAATGGAAAAGTATTTATTACCTAAATAGTTGAGATTTCATCATTAAGGAATAACTTTCTCATATCTAAATCTATTAGAAAAATGTTGCAAAATAAACTCTAATAATTTTGTTAAAATGTGTGCCCAAACCAGGGATCTCCAAATTTTGACCAGTTTAAAAACATGCAAGAGGACACTAAGCAACAATCACTCTGGGATTATTACTTGGGAGTTTTTGCCCCAAATCTTAATTTAGTCTCCTTGATTATTAAGAATAGAGCACCTCAAATTGGGAGGAATCTTGCTGCTTGGCAGTAGGCAAGCCTGTGGTCATTTCAGTAAAAGCAGAATGATGGACTGACCTCCTTGGCTCCTTTCCTCCAGGCTTATGTCCTTACGACTGCTCTAGGTTCCATCATTTAAATGTCAAGAGAAGGATGAGGAAAAAGAATTTGTTCTGATGCTTGATACTAATCTTCTTCTTCTGATTCCTATTTGGTCATTATGTCAAGTAGGAAGCAGTCTCAGGCCTTCCACAATACAGGTTGTCAGCGCTCCCAGAGAAAAACCAGAGATTGGTATTCCCAGGAGACCCAATCCAAGGAGATAGCTTGCCACATTAGCCCATGCAGTTCATCACTGGGCCTTCTAATACCTACCTAGACCAATACATGTTATTGCCCATGGTTCTCATTTTAAATAGGAGAGAAGGCAGGTTGTTGGACTTTAGTACCACCCTTTAGCCCTACCCGGTGTTTGGAGTATGCCGCTAATGTATCAAATAATCTTTACAGAAATCACTGCACAGTCAGATGCCAGTGAAATTCGACAGGACTGGAAACCTACATTCCTTAGTAATGAAGAATTTACACAATTAATGTTAGAGGTATGTCTAGATTTACTTTTTGAAAAGTTTTATTTTCCTCAGAAAAGATATAGAGATGATGAATTTTAGTATATTTTAACAATATTAATTTAATATTGAGAAGTCTTTAATTCATTGTAAATCAATAAATTATATCTTCAATTAAAATTAATTGATGTAAGTATAAGTAAATAGTAGTATGTGGTAAGGTAATGTTAAATTTTCATATTTTTAATAATACATGAGTTTTGAGAGGCTTGATAAAAGTCAGAAACCTATAGCTATCAAGTTCTTTACCTGAGACCACACTAACAATATTCATATGAAGAAAATGTAGATTATTCATCATACGTTAAATACTATGCCCTCATAAAGGGGCACCTGGCTGGCTCAGTCAGCATGTGACTCTTGATCTCAGGGTCATGAGTTTGAGCCCACGTTGGGTGTAGAGATTACTTAAAAATACAATCTTTAAATATTATGAAATGTAAACTACTGTTTAATTTTTTTAAACAAATTAAAATTCACCTAAATACAATATAAGATGATGATAAATGATTTTGAAAATATTAAAACATTGAAATACACATTGAAAGGCAACTCTTCTTAATTCAAGTAGAAACTTTTAAAAGGAAATAAGTAGGGGCGCCTGGGTGGCTCAGTCGGTTGAGCGTCCGACTTCAGCTCAGGTCACGATCTCGCGGTCCGCGAGTTCGAGCCCCGCGTCGGGCTCTGGGCTGATGGCTCAGAGCCTGGAGCCTGCTTCCGATTCTGTGTCTCCCTCTCTCTATGGCCCTCCCCCGTTCATGCTGTGTCTCTCTCTGTCTCAAAAATAAAATAAATGTTAAAAAAAAATTAAAAAAAAAAAATAAAGAAAAAAAATAAAAGGAAATAAGTAAATGTTCTTCTGTAACAAAATTATTTTTGAAAATAATTCAGAACATATTTGCTTATAATTAAACCCTCTAATACCTCATACAATTATTTCTAAAATCCACAGATGTTTTGAGTCACTCATATCTATCAGTTTTACTTCTCTACTTTTTTAATTGTTTCCTGTGTAGAATAATATAGGTATCATCTTTGCACGCAAAGTACACAGAGTTCAATATCAAATTTCCATGTAAACTTTAATAGGAAACAGAGGTGGTATACTTTGGTAGTAACATTTAAAGACAAGAAAAATAAATACATAACAAAGTAGACATAGAAAGAACCAAGGAAAGCAGTTGAGGTAGGTATGTGGAAGTTGTTAAATAATTTACATCTTTTATCCTTTTTGTTTGGATGTATTATTTCAGACCTGAAGCATTTATCTGTGTCATGTATGCGTATGTAATGACTATATTGCAACTGTCTCTGTATATTGACTGAAGTCTGAGGCAACATAAAGTATTTTGCAAATCAATGAGTTATTTTTCGGTTCATACTTAAGATGGAACAGTTAATTGCTGGATTAATTAAGTATATATTCAGCAGAAATGTTACCATATGAAAATTTATTGGACTATAAGTATATTTATGTATAATCGTAGCTGTCCTTAAAATCTGAAAAATAATGAGCACTTTTCACATATTAACTCTATGAACCTCAAAATAATCTTATGAAGTAGCATCTGTTTATGCCTTTCTTACTTCCGGATGAGGAAATCAAGGAACAAAGGATTATGAAATTTACTCAAAGTAACACAATTAGTAAGTAGCCCCATTAGGATTCACTGCAGCCTCTCATCTCCCTGGCCTCAACCTCTCTGCACACTGCCACTCATGAACTTCTTTCATTGAAAGCTAGCCAAAGAACAGTCCTTTTATCTTAAAAACCACCAGTTAGCTCTTTGAATTACCGGACACTTACGTTATAGACCAAATAATAGTTTCTAATTTTAAGGGTTTTACCCCCCCCCAAAAGGTAAGTGTTCTTCTGCAACAAAACTATTACATTACTTTTAAGTTTGTAAAAGAGTAGTCTGTAATAGCCTTCTGATCATCTACTCATTACTAAACTCATTGATAATGTCCAAAATTATCTTGCTTAGGTAAAAGTAATGTGTTTATGAAAGAGTACACACAAGCTGATGTCTAAATACATAAAGGATTTAACTCATTTAATTACTCCTTAATTTTTATTTTATGATTATATTGTCAGTGCAGTGGTTTAATAAGATCTTCTGTGTTAATCATAAACATTTACTTACTCTGCTTCATTGGTATGAAAATTTCCTTACAAATTCATAAATTGGTATAATATCTTCAGTCATTTCTTAATACTTAATGAAGATAAATTCACTAATAGGCCAAACAGAACAGCATTGTCTCCAAATTTTCTTTACACTGCACAGATTCTTTTTTTTATTATCATTTGCCAAGACACATGTAGTACCTATGATGTAGATAACTATTGAAAGGAAGAAAGAAACAAGAGTGCTGATACTTAAAAAAAAAAAAAAAAATTGATGGACACGAGCTGCTTCCATATCTTGGCTGTTGTAAATAATGCTGCTATAAACATTGGGAAAAAAGTCTCTCTTTGAATTAATGTTTTTGTATTCTTTGGGTAAATACTCAGTAGTGTGATTACTGGATCCTGGGGTAGTTCTATTTTTACCTTTTTGAGGAACCTCTGTACTGTTCTCCAGAGTGTCTGCACTAGTTTTCAATCCCACCAACAGCGCAAGAGCGTTCTCCTTTCTCCACATCCTCGCCAACACTGGTTGTTTCTTGTGTTGTTGATTTTAGTCATTCTAACAGATGTGAGGTGATACCTCATTGTAATTTTAATTTGCATTTCCCTGATGATAAGTGATGATGAGCATCTTTTCATGTGTCTGTTGGCCATCAGTATGTCTTCTTTGGAGGAATGTCTGTTCATGTCTTCTGCCCCTTTTTAAATTGGATTCTTTGGGTTTTGGGTGTTAAGTTCTCTAAGTTCTTTATAGATTTTGGATACTAACCCTTCATCAGATATGTCATTTGTAAATACCTTCTCCCATTCCATAGGTTGCCTTTTCGTTTGGTTGATTGTTTCCTTCATTGTGCAGAAGCTTTTTATTGATGTAGTCCCAATAGTTTATTTTTGCTTTTGTTTCCCATGCTTCAGGAGACCTATCTAGAAAAAGTTGCTACAGCTGATGGCAGAGAAGTTATTACCTGTGCTGTCGTCTAGGATTTTTATAGTTTGAAGACTCACATTTAGGTCTTTAATCCATTTTGAAATAATTTTTGTGTATGGTATAAGAAAGTGGTCCAGTTATATTCTTTGGCTCTCCAGTTTTCCCAACAGCATTTGTTTTTTTTTTTCCAGTGGATATTCTTTTCTGCTTTGTTGAAGATTGACCATATATATAATTGTGGGTTTATTTCTGAGTTTTCTGTTCTGTTGATCTGTGTGTCTGTTTTTGTGCCATTACCAGGCTGTTTTGATTACGACAGCTTTGTAGTAGAATTTGAAGTCTGGAATTGTGATGCCTTCAGCTTTGCTTTCTTTTTCAAGATTACTTTGGCTATTCAGGGTCTGTTGTGGTTCCATACAGGTTTTAGGATTGTTTGTTCTAGTTCTGTAAAAACACATTGTTGGTATTTTGATACGGATTGCATTAAATGTGTAGATTGTTTTGGGTAGTATCGACATTTTAACAATATTTGTTCTCCCAACCCATCAGCATGGAATGTTTTTCCATTTTTTGGTGTCATCTTTAATTTCTTTCATCAGTGTTTTATAGTGTTCAGAGTATAGGTCTTTCACCTCTTTGGTTATTAGGTTTATTCCTAAGTATCTTATTATTTTTTGTGCAATTGTAAGTGGGATGGTTTTCTTAATTTCTCTTTCTGCTCCTTTATTATTGATATATAGAAATGCAACAGATTTCTGGAGATTGATTTTATATCCTGTGACTTGACTTAATTAATCAGTTCTAGCAGTTTTTTGGTGGAATCGAGTTTTCTATATATAATGTCATATCACATGAAAATAGTGACAGCTCTACACCTTCCTTACAGATTTGGATGCCTTACATTTCTTTTTGTTGTCTGATTTCTGTGGCTAGGAATTCTAGTATGGTGTTGAATAAAAGGAGTGAGAATGGATAGCCTTGTGTGGTTCCTGATGTTAGGGGAAAAACTCTTTTTCCCTGTTAAGGAGGATATTAGCTGTGGGTTTTTCATATATGGCCTTTATTATGTTGAGGTATGCTCCCTTGAAAATCACTTTGTTGAGGGTTTTTATCGTGAATGGATGTTGTACTTTGTCAAATGCTTTTTCTGCATTTACTGAAATGATCTTATGGTTTTTTTTTTTTATGGCAAAAAGCATTTTTTTTTATTTATATATGAAATTTATTGTCAAATTGGTTTCCATACAACACCCAGTGCTCATCCCAAAAGGTGCCCTCCTCAATACCCATCACCCACCCTCTCCTCCCTCCCACCCCCATCAACCCTCAGTTTGCTCTCAGTTCTCAACAGTCTCTTATGCTTTGGCTCTCTCCCACTCTAACCTCTTTTTTTTTTTTTTTTTTTTCCTTCCCCTCCCCCATGGGTTCCTGTCAAGTTTCTCAGGATCCACATAAGAGTGAAACCATATGGTATCTGTCTTTCTCTGTATGACTTATTTCACTTAGCATCACACTCTCCAGTTCCATCCACGTTGCTACAAAAGGCCATATTTCATTTTTTCTCATTGCCACGTAGTATTCCATAGTGTATATAAACCACAATTTCTTTATCCATTCATCAGTTGATGGTCATTTAGGCTCTTTCCATAATTTGGCTATTGTTGAGAGTGCTGCTATGAACATTGGGGTACAAGTGCCCCTATGCATCAGCACTCCTGTGTCCCTTGGATAAATTCCCAGCAGTGCTATTGCTGGGTCATAGGGTAGGTCTATTTTTAATTTTCTGAGGAACCTCCACACTGCTTTCCAGAGTGGCTGCACCAATTTGCATTCCCACCAACAGTGCAAGAGGGTTCCCGTTTCTCCACATCCTCTCCAGCATCTATAGTCTCCTGATTTGTTCATTTTGGC